AGAGAGAGAGAGAGAGAGAGAGAGAGAGAGAGAGAGAGAGAGAGAGGAAGACAAGAGCCTGGACCTTCCTAATTGTGGACTTGATCATGTTGCTTCCCTGGATCTCAATTTCATTATACATCAGATTATGTTAGAGGCAGTATAAGGCACTGGAAAGAACATTGGATTTGGAGTCAGAAATTATAGGTCTGAATCTCAACCCTTTCACTTACTACCAGTATATTTCTGGGCAATTCACTTAATTTCTCTGACCTCAGTTTCCTTATCTGGAAAATGAGAGATTTCAGACTACATGAACTCTGGGGTCTCTCCTGACTCTATGATTTATTTTGCAGCATTGCTGGGATTAAATGGTTCAATTTATTTGATAAATTTTGAAAAAAAATTTAAAGTGCTGTGTAAATATGTATGGTCTTATTATTATCATTAGTAGAGTGTTAGGGTCACTGGAGATAAATGGAAATTTCCTTTTAAGTGAAGTGGTAGGTAACATTGCTTTGACTTGTTTAAGGTCAGTGGCTAAGAGTTTTTTCCTTATCGAAGAACCAGTGAATTGATAAGTCAACACCAGGAAAGCTAGGGGCTCTGGTGAGACAGAAAAGCAATAGAAGACACGATCCCTAACTTCAGAAATTCCTTTAACTAGCCAAAACCTGAAATGATCAGACATTTCACAAAGCAGTATATTTGTAAATGAAAAATAAACCAACACCCAAATGTTAAGGGGCAAACATTAAAGTTGTGTGGAGTTAATAAGACGGGTTTGGGAAAATGAAAGGAGAGTGCATTCCAGGTTGGTATGTGCAAACACCCTAAATGAGAACGTTTAAGGAACACAGGAGATACAGCAAACAGATGTTCCAAGCAGAGAAATAAGAGCAAATGGCATTGATAATAATACAAGAGGAATCGATATGGCAGAGCACTCTGACGGTCGGGCTATGGGAATTTGGATTTTCCATTAAAAACATTTTTTTTTTTTTAAAAAAAAAAGGCTGAGGATGCGTGTGACAGGATGAAGAAGGTAACTCTGGTAGATTACTTTCGCAACCATTCATCAAGTGGCCCCAGTCTATGGGGTTGAGGGTGTGAATTCGGTCCCCCCTCCCCACCCCCACTGCCCTTAATTCCTGAAACGGTCATGCAATGCCCACTCTCTTTACACCTCCTTTTCTCATATTTGCACTGGGAACCCCAGGCGAGAAAGGACGGCCGTGCATATCTGTGCTCCCGGGAAAAGAGGGAGGGAACTGTGGTCCTGGGCTAGGGAGGGAAAAGACGAGGTTGCAGAGACAGTAGCTTTTCTGCCCTCAGGGTCCTGAGCTGCCCAAGTTGCTGCGTGGGATAAGAGTTGGCGGGGCGGGGCTCCCGCGTGCCCTCTCGCCTCTAGCTGTCCCGGGAACGTTCTGAAAAAGTATCCAAAAGTTCCTGGCCAAGCGCGCCAAAGGAAAAAAAAAAAAGTGGTGGGGGAGAGGAAGGTGGGGGTGGGGAGAGAGAAAGGCTAGAAAAGCGCCAGAGGGCTCACACGCCCTCACACGCTCCCTGCTGCAGCTCGGGGTCGCATCGCATCGCGCTCGGCCGCTGCTCCTGCTGCTCCCACGCCTCGCCTCGGGGCTCAACCGAGGCCGCAGGTCTCCTGCGCTCCGCTTTGCGACGGAGCGTAAAGGAGATCTTGGGGTGACTTCTGATCCTCCTTCTGATTCAGGGGAGGGATCTCCCAATCGTGGAGACATGCCCAACGAGGATTCCTACAGCAAGCCCTCGACGTCGTCCGACGGGCACCCTGGGCCCGGGGGCAAGGCCGGGGGCTTCGGGAAGGGCGCAGGTGCCATGCTAGGGGTGGCCGGAGGCAGCGGCAGCAGCGGCGGCGGGGCCGGGGGCAGCGGCGGCGGCTCGGGCTCCGGCTCGGGCTCGGGCGGCTTAGGGCCGTCGGGGGCAGCGGGGAAGAAGTCCCCGCGCCTGCCCAAGTGCGCGCGATGCAGGAACCACGGCTACGCGTCCCCCCTGAAGGGGCACAAGCGCTTCTGCATGTGGCGGGACTGCCAGTGCAAGAAGTGCAACCTGATCGCCGAGAGGCAGCGGGTCATGGCGGCCCAGGTGAGCGGGCCGGGCGGGGCCGGGCGGGCGTCGGGGAGCCCGGGCGCGCGGCGGGGGGCCTCTCCGGGCGCGAGGGCCCGCCGCCGTCTCTGCTCTCCTCTTCTCCTCCTTTCTTTTACTTCTCTTCCCTTTTCCTTCTCTTTCTCTTCCCTTCTCCTTTTGCTTCTTTTCCTCTTCCTTTTCCCTTCTCTTCCCTTTCTCCTTTTTTTCTTCCCTTCTCTTCCCCCCTCCTCTTCCTCTTCCCTTCTCTTCCCTTTCTCCTTTTTTCTTCCCTTCCTCTTCCTTTTTCCTTCTCTTCCCTCTTTCTTTTCATTCTTCTCTTGATTCCTTTTTCTTCGCTTCCCTTCTCTTTCTCCCTTCTCCCCCTTTACTTTCTCCTCTTTCCTTTTTTCATCCTTCTCCTTTAATCAATTTCCTTCTCTCCCATTCTTTATTTCTATTTTTATTTTATCTTTGGGAGAAGACGTCAAACTCAGAGGCTACCTTTTGTTGCCCCTTCATTTCATTGGTTTGGGGAGAAACCTTATTTTTTGGGGGGGGTGTCTCTACTTGGGGGAGGAGCCAAAACTGGATTTTAATTAAAGCGCTCAGCAGCATGACTAATGTGAAAATATGTTTAATATCAATGTATATGTAGTGCCTCTATGGGATTGCGCGCCGTTCTGGGGGGAGGAGGGGGAGAAAATGGAAAACTGAAAAGCTTATGGAAGTGAATGTTGAAAACTAAAAATAAACTAATTTAAAAAAAATTAAAGCGCCTAGTATTAGTACATACCTGGTCCCCCTTCCCAGCATTGGTCAAGTCGGCAGCTGGACACACACGCGCACACTCCCAAGGGGGGGCTCCGCGGATCCCTTTGACTTCCCCAAATCCCGGGTGGATCACCTGGGAAAGGCTAAGAAACGCCGAAAACCGCTAAGGGAGAGACATGCTTGGCGCATGCATGTGCAAGGGGAGGTGGAGAACTAGGGAAGGGGGTGGAGGGGGGGGGGAATATGAGTAATTCTTAGTAAAAGCTAAAGTTGGTGGTGTATTCGTTTTTGCAATAGCCAGGAGAAGAGTGGGTTTTGCTTTTTTCTTTGTTTTTGTTTGGTCTTGGAATGAATGCAGTGCTTTCCCCCTCCAATATGCAATATGATTCACGTGGAAAGGTAGTTTTATTAGGCTTTCTTTGACATGCCAAAACTTTACTATTTTATTTTATTTTTTCCAATTATCAAGCTTTCATTCCCCCACCCCTCCCTATTTCCCTCCCTATTTTTCCACTGGGGGAAAAAAGAACCTCTGTATCACCTAAGTACAATTAAGCAAAATATAATAATTTATTTTTAAGTCCAATTTTTAAAAATAAATCCATATTTGCCTAAAGGATTTTTAGGTGTTTTAGGGAAAAAAGTTTTAAAATCTGCTTAGAAATTTAAAATCTGTTGAAAGACGTCTTCCTTGTCATCAGGAAAAGAGGCTGTATTTATATTTACTAAAGAAAAATACATTCTTTCCACCTGGTTTGTGTTTCACTTTTTAAAGGATATTTTTTTACTCTAAAGATTGAAAAGAAGTATTTACAAACATTGCTACTTTTGATTATAGACTTGTAAATATCCTTCATTGGAATTGGTTTTAAATGTTAATTTTTGAAATTTAGTAGTAAAAGAATAAAGTGATAAAAAGGTGACACACTTTTATGCCTTTGATTTTGTATTTTTATTTTATTTCAAAGGTAGTTACTACAGTTTTTTTGGTGCATTTTCATAGTATTTTTTTAAAAGATAACAGGACGCCACTCAAGTAATGGAAGTAGATTATGATTTTTTTTCCCTGATATCTCTTAGTTAACCTCAATTAATTGAAAAGAATATACTGAATATTCGAATATACCGAAATATATCGAAATGGTTCCCTTAAAGCATTTTTTAGGTTTTAAAGAGTTTTTTGTAGATAGAAACAATATTACAGATCTTTACTTATATATCTTAAAATATATATTGTGGGGAGCATAGCATTTAATCTATAGAGTTTATAATTTCTCAAAATAGGTCTCCAATATTGTTTATGAAGATTTAACATTTCATAATAAATTTGCTTAGTTTTAAATAAAATTAGCAAAATTGCATTGTAAGATGTTAGATAGTAGACTGTTAAACATCAAATGAAATAATATATAATTATATATAAATATTGGATATAATGTTAGATATAGTCAATGTAACATATATCTATATATTAGATATGCATATAATGTATAAATGCACAGTATAGAAATATATTGCATACATGCATACAGTATATAAATATATTATACATAATGTATATAATACATATATAAAGCAATACATTAATATAGCATGTACAATGTAGTTAATATAACAGCATGTAAATATAACTAATAAACATAGTATTAAACACATATTATGGATAATGTATATGATATATTCTTGTATAAAGCACTTCGCAAACCTTACAAGTTTAAACCATAATGTTTTGTATAAATATTGGCTACTGGTTGGCTATTTTTATTTTTGAAAGTTTATTTCCTAGATAAAAAAAAGGGTAAGTTATTCTTCTAAGGTTTACAATTCAGGATTTCTAGAACATTACACTACTTTTTTTTTTCCTGTTAGATTAATCCTTAAAAATCTGCTTAAGAATATACTACTACTATTAACCTAACAGCTCACATTTCTCTGTATTTTAAGGTTTAATAAAGTGTTTTCTGCACAATACCTCTGTGATGTTGGATAAATAATACATCTTTTTCCCAGAGGGGCAAAATGAGACTCCTGGTCACATAGCTAGGCTATGTTTGAGCAGGATTTGGATGGAGGTCTCCAATACATCATTACATTCTTAATACACTTTTACTTCTCTGTCAAAGTTTTTGCTGGTGAGAATTATTAAAAATTCCATTTAAAAATCTCTTGTGAAAGTGTACATTTCCTTACTACATCCACTTCAAAAAAGTTAGTTGCTCAATGGACTTTTTGCAATATTAGTTATTTTTTCATAAACAAAATTTCCTAGATCTTTTTTATTTTTTGTATAGAAACATTTCAAACTTTTGCCCCATTCTCCCTGTTAAGTTTAGTAGTCAGTTTGTAAACCAAAATTTAACATCTGTTCCTTAGCAGTATATTTAAGTAATTTTAAAGTAAATCATTTTCTTAATTAAATAATAGTTATAATCATTATAATTTATTAGACTTCTTAAACTGGCTTCCAAATTTTCTTTAGTGCCTTACTGATCATTTTGATTTTTCCTTTTTTTTGTTTTCTCTTTGTGCCTATTGCTCTCAGGTGGCTTAGTGAAATTTGGAGTCAAAAGAACTGAGTACAAATCCCAGCTCTGCTGCATACTTAACCTGTGTGACCATGGGAAAATCATAGTTTTTGGTAAAATGGGGACAATATATTTGTACTACCTGTATTTTGACGAAAGTGCTTTGTAAACTTAAAAAGTGAACACATTCTTAAAAGTTTAGAATAAATGTGTAGGGTACACATTTTTCATTTTAACCTGGGAAGCTCTGTTTAAGTTATAAGTATAAACATGGGCAAATCAATTAAAGCTTAATTTTTGAACTTTTTAAAAAATTCCATTAAGAAAATAACATACCAGTCGAACCAGTCCTCTTTCCTGCTTTTAAAGGTCAGTCTTTTTACTTAGATACATTCTCAAAAGGTTGAGAATAAAATGAGGCATTTTTTCAGATGCAAAGCATTATATTATTAAAATGTTTCTTTGCAATCAGATTCCTGGATTTCTATTGCTACTGACTTGTAAAGTATACCATAATTTTAAATTTGGAAGGATTTGGCATTAATTTAAAATCATATTTTCCATTTTCAAAGCAAGAATAGTGAAATTATTAATACACACATTTATTTTTTCCCCCCTGATAATTTTGCCCTGGTGTCTTACTTGTAGCATCCAGGGCTTTGGACTTGACCTGATACTAATTTTATGTTTTAGGAGCCTATTTTGATGATTTATTTTAGCCAAACATTTTTTTCACCTCTAGAGAGGACCACTAATAGAAAGTCAGCCCTATAGCTGGGATAGCAGTGACAAATAGTCTTTGTCAAGTCTTGCACTGATTGACTTGGATATCTCCAAAGACCTTTCTCCCAGTTTGGTTGAAAACCTTTTAACATTTTGATGCTGGTATTATAGAAGATTTTTTTCAATCAAGGAACTTTTTAGCACTTTTCATGTTTTCTATTGTAGTTTGGGGGATAACTAGGGCTTTTTTCTACTTTGCATCATGACTGCCTAAAGAGCTAATTCCTGAAGCCACAGTCCAAGAATTGAAATGGACCTCAAGGGATCAGCTAGTTGAATTTGTACTCAATAGCCTGGCAAGTGGTAATTACATTTTTTGGGATTCTGTACTTGTCCTTTTGCTCACTGGTCTGTTTTGGTTTATAGGTCTGGCCTTTGGAGGTCATTTGGTTACTGATAGGGAAATTTAGGTGTGGAGAGATGAAGACTTGCCTAAGCTCTCAGAGGTAGTAAGTAGCAGAGCTGGGAATCAAATCTAGGACCTCTGATTACAAATCCCTACCCCCCTCTGCCTTTCCTTACTTTAAGAGCGAAGAAAAAATGTTGTTATTAATAACTCAGGAAAGAAGATTCCAGAGCAACATTATTTTTTTTTCTTTCGGTTTTTTTTTTTTTGGAGGCAATCTGGATTAAGTGACTGTACCAGGGTCACACTGCTAGCGTCTGAGGCCAAGTTTGAACTCAGCTCCTTCTGAGTCTATCTGCTGTGCAACCTTGCTGCCCCTAGAGCAAAGTTATTTTCTAGAAATAATGAGACAAAAATGTTTTATATCTCTTTCCTTAGGTAATTTGTCATTTTTCAATTGTATCTGACTCTTTGTGACACTATTTAGGATTTTCTTAGCAAAGACACTGGAGTGGTTTGCCATTTAAAGCCTCTCCTCTATCCCTGATCCCATTCTCTCATTAGGTGATTTTGCATCCCAGTGACCACCCCCTTCTCTCCAGGCAAAACTGACGTAAAGAACTCTGCTTCCCAGTTGTATAGTCTCCTTCTTTCTTCCTTCCTCCTTTTTCTTCAGGCTGTGCCCTTCTATCCAAATCACCGCTGGAGAAAGGCTCTAATAGCATTCGTTTATATCCGTGTTTGAATTAGGATTGGTGCCATGTATTATTCTCCCAATGTATTTGCATTTTAAGCGTTACCTTTAACCAGTGAATATTACCTTCCATAGCAAGAAATTTCAAGTCAGTCCCCAAGTTACCCCAAGTAGCAGACATTGACCTTGTCTACACATCTCTATGCATATACACCTATCTCATCCTCCTATTCACAGGAAGACTGTTTTATTTTACCTTGTTATTTTACTACATTCTTTTACCTTATTATTAGCATCTAGGTGGCATAGAGGATAGAGTGCTGACTTGGCATGAGGAGACCTCAGTTTGAATCCTTCCTTAGATACTAGCTGTATGATTAGAGACAATCAGTTTCCTCATCTGTAAAATGGGGATAATAATAGCACCTCCCAGGGTGTTTGAGAGCACATCTATGAGGTTATATATCTAAAGGGCTTTGCAAACTTTTAAGTGCTGTGTAAAGGCTGGTTTTTTCTTCTATCTATACCCTTGATCTCATCTTTTCTTTACTCTAAGAGGGCCCTGCTCCCATATTTATTCTTTCCTTTTCTAGTAGATCTTCAATTTATCCCACTCAACTGTCTTGTTTGCCTCAAAATTTGAAAAATTCTTAGCTTGCCCCTGACATGCACTTTAGCTACAACCCCATTTCTTTGATTTTTTTTTCATTTCATGCTTGCTTCATAACTCACTCCCCTCTTAATCTCTTGCACATGCTTCCATCCACATCACGCTATGGAAATTAACTTTCTTAGAGGTAGGTCATCAAGGACCACTTAAATGTCTAAACGAATTGTATTTTTCTTGGTCCTTATTCTTTTTGACTTCTCTGCAGTCTTGACACTGCATTTATTTCTTTTTATTACATTTATCACAGGCTTCCTTATATACTTATTTATGTACATGGATTCCCTACTATATTTTAGTTACCTCCTGAAGGAGGGCAGGGAGTTTAATTTATTCAATAAGCATTTATAAAGCTCCTATTGAGTGCCAGGTGCTGTTTTGGGTGCTAGGGATATACAAAGACAGAAATGAAAGTCCCTGCTGTGAAGGTGCTTACTATAGTTACAGATACCCAAAATTGTGGAAACTTGCCTCAGTTTCCTCCTCTGTAAAATGGGGATAACAATAGCAGCTTTCTCCCAGGATTGTTGTGAGGACTGATGAGATAAAGTGCTTAACATGGTGTCTGGCACATAGTAAGTGCTATATAATTGTTAGCTAATAGCTATTATTATTCCCCTTCCCTCACTTTGCCATCTAGCCATACTGGCCTTCTTACCATTCCTCATGTAGGGCATTTCGTTTCCTGCCCTTTTCCAGGCTGTGCCCCCCATCTGGAATCTTTGCTGCCTTCAAAACTCCCCTCAAATGTTTTCTTCTTTGTGAATCCTTTCCTGATCATCACAGCTGCTGTGGTCTCTAACCCCAGACTACCCTCATTTATCTTGAATTCACTTAAGTACATATGCGTTTTCTTCCCTCTGTTGAATCTAAGATCCATGAGAGCACAGATTGTTTTCCTTCACTGTATGCAGAGCCTAGCACTGTGTCTGAATTGTGCATGGTATTAGGCACTTAGTTGCAGATAGGCCAAATTAATCTTTTGTAAATAAATGTAAGGGAAAATGTCTGTAAAGGTAATTTCACCTAAAAATTAAAAAAAAGGAGGTACTTAGAAATTGCTTTCTTTTTTCCAAATTTTCAGGTGGCATTGAGAAGACAGCAGGCGCAGGAGGAGGAGCTCGGGATCAGCCATCCTATTCCCTTGCCCAGTGCTGCAGAACTGCTTGTTAAGAGAGAAAATAATGGGAGCAGCTCCTGCCTGATGTCTGAGAACGGCAGCCCAACCCAGGCCCCAAGCACTCCAACTACATCTTCAGGTAAATCTCTTTGTTGAGTCTCATCCTTGTAGGCGTTAGTTGGTGCTTAGAAGAGGGGAGCCAAGTTTGGATCTTTTTATTTTTAAGATACCAAGGAAGTGCTAAAATTGAATTATGGAAACTTTACATGCAACATTAAAAAGGATTAGTGTCCCCCCCCCCCCCCCCCCCCCGCCTCCAGCCCATTGGCTATATTTCTTTTAAAGGGCCTGCTTTTGGTAGCCTCTTTTAAAAGACATGATAATAGGTTCTGGCAATGGACCGAAAAAAAAAAAAAAAGAAAAAAGAAGTAATCCCTATTCTCAAGGAGTTTACATTCTGATGGCAGAGGCAAAGCATATACATGCAGAAAAAAAATGCAAGATGAAATTGTATAGGGGACCTGGTAGCCTCCATATGGAGGATTGCATTAAGCCAAGGAAACTGTGCCAGTTTCTACACACTGGCTCTCATTGCTTGGGGCCAAGTTGTAATGGGCTTTGAAGTCAAAATAGGATTTTATATTTTATCCTGGAAGTAATAAGGAGTCACTGGAGTTTTCTGAATAATATGGTCACATCTGCTAAAGAGAAATCCTTTGGGATTTGTGTGGAGGATGACTTGGGTGAGGAGAAACTTGAGGCATGAAGGAAGCAACCATCTGTACTATAGGTAAGTCTGTTCTTGTTATAGTCGCATTACTTCTTAGAGTAACTGCTTTAATATGTACAATGGTTTAAGGATATTCCAAATCCTAGGTTCCATTAAACTAGGTTTAGTTACTGGGTGAAAATTGAGAGAGGAAACAAAGGCTGTGGATAAATGTTGCCCTACAAAACCCCCCAAAATCATGATACAAGCCTTAAAATGAAGGACACCCCGAAGAAGAGATAGAAGAAGATAGCTGCCTCCCCGTCTTTACAGAAGTGAGGGGTCCATGGGTACAGGACACAATAGAATTTCATAGTTTTTTAAAATGTTGATTAGTTTTTTCTTCATTATAAGGGATGGCTCTTTGGGAAGGGGATAGAGAGGAATATAGGGGTAAATGTAAACAAAACCCCAAAAGAAATCAATAAAAATCTAAAAAAAAAGAATAAAAATCATTTATAAAATAACATTAAAGAACTTTTATTCCTCCAAAAACAAAAGTTCCCTAATAGGTATACCCCCCTGCCAAAGAAATAGGGACTATGTATATAGTTTTTAGTAATTTGAGAAAGGATAACTACTGAATATTATCAAATAATGTGCAAAGGCATGGAAATTTTCAAGTCTTCATAACATCAGACTTATCTCCAATCCTCAACATTTCATCTAAAGAACGCTTTCTCTGTCATTTGTTTCCCTCTTACTACTTAGACGGACCCACCACTTTTTGTTGGCGTTTAGTCATTTTCAGTCATGTCTGACCTTTGGTGACCCCTTCTGAGGTTTTCTCAGCAGAGCTACTTGAATGGTTTGCCATTTCCTTCTCTAGCTCACTGAGGTTGACAGGGTTAAAATGACTTGCCCAGGGTCATGCAGCTAGTAAGTGTCCGAGGAATCTTCCTGACTTGAGGCCCAGTGTTCTATACATTGTACCACTTAGCTGCCCCACTTTAGGGCCTCATCATCTCCCCACTCAACTTTGCATTGGCCTCCCAGTTGGTCTCCCTTCCTCAGGCTTTTCCTCACAACAATCCACCTTCTATATACCTGCCAGAGTAATTTTTTTAAATCACAGATCTGACCATGTTATTCCCCTGTACTCAGTCATCTCCAGTGGCTTCCTATTGATTGTTATAGGAGTTAACCAGTTTGCAATATTTAATCAACTTGTTGAAGACCCTTGATGCTCTTGATGGGGTCATGGAAATTAGGGTTTTGGGGTTTAGCCCAGGAAAAATGAAAGAGCCAAGGAGGAAGGTAGATGTGAAGGACAAATCCAGAGAGTTAGATAGAATTATTCTTTATCATCACAGCTCCATAATGTTGAGCGCAGAAGGCCTGGTTTAGTGTAAAGAACATCAGGTTTGTAATCAGAAGACTAGCCCAGGGTGTCCTACATAGCTGTATGGTCTTGGACAAGTCCTTTCCCATCTCTCAACCTTACAGTTGTAAAATGAGGGCCTTGAACTAGAAAAGATAATCTCTAAACTTCCTTTCTAATGTGTTCTGTGATTCTGAGGGTGGTAGTCACTGGTCTCCAGTGTTTACTTTGGTTTCCAGTGTAATCCAGTGGTCACTAGGTAGTCACATGGTCTCCAGTGACTCCAATAACAATAATTACGATATAAATTCTTTACAATATCTCATTTGATCCTCACAACAGCTTCGGGAGGTAGATAACATTATGATCCTCATTTTACAGTTGAGGAAACTGAGGTAAGCATCAGTTAAGTAACTTTCCCAAGATGACAGTGAGTGTTTCAGGCTGGATTTGAACTCAGATCTTCCTGACTCCAGATCCAGCACTTTTAATTCACAGTGCTACCTAGCTGTCTTGATTACTGTAGATTAAACTAATGATAAATAAAATTGCATCTTTGCAAAATATTTAGGTGAGGATGCATTCAGTTAGGTCAGGAATAGAAAGTGAGGGACCATCCTAATATACTTTAGGGTGGCTAGGAGGTACAGTGGATAGAATGCCCATCTTGGAGACTCATTTTCCTGAGTTCAAATTCGGCCTCAAACACTTACTAGCTGTGGGACCCTGAGCAAGTCACTACTTGCCTCAGTTTCCTCATCTGTAAAATGAGCTGGAGAAGGAAATGGCAAACCATTCTAGTAGCTTTGCCAAGAAAACCCCAGATGGGGTCGTGAAGAGTTGGATGTGACTGAAATGTCTGAACACCTAATGTACTCTGGATCTTGCTGGTGGAGGAAGAGAGTGTTGGGGTGGGTGACATCAGAGTTGCAAAGGGCATTTAGAAGAGCGTTTCTAGGGGAGATGAAATTCTCAAAGTAAACATGAATTCTGACAGAGCATTTCAGAGGCAGTGATAGGGAAAGTTACACACAGGAGGCGTGGGAGCAAGATAGAAAGTTCAAGGTCAAACGAGGGTGACCAGATTCTCTTCTTCCTTCAGGAGCCAAAGGACCTTGAGGGTTTTTAGGGCGATTATATCCTTTGGTTTCAGAAAGAGAGTTTTATAATAGCTAGCTCAGGTAGAGAAGGATCTCTATAAGGAAGTGATCTCCATTCTCTTCTGTTAGCCAGAGTGCAATCCACATGGAGGAGCCCCAAAGAGGGGACCTTAGGGTTATATATTTAGAGCTGGAAGGGACCCCACTGAGGATAACCCATTCATCTTACAGCTGAAACTGAGGCTCAGAAACGTTGTGACTTGTCCAAAGTCACACAACTAGTGCCTGAGACTGGATTTGAACTCAGTTCTTCCTTTAATTCCCAGCCCACCGCTCTATACACTGCATCACCTAGCTGCCCCTTTGTTGTTGTTTAGTCATTTCAGTCGTGTCTAACTCTTCATGACCCCATTTGGGATTTTCTTGGCAAAGATATTGGAGTGGTTTGCCGTGTCTTTCTCCAGCTCATTTTACAGATGATGAAACTGAGGCAAACAGGGTGAAATGACTTGCCCAGGGTCATGCAGCTAGTAAGTGTCTGAGGCTGGATTTGAACTTGACTTTAGGTTGGGCACTCCATCCACCGTGCCACCCAGCTGGTCCTATTTGCCACCATTTGCTACATCAGCCAGTTGTAGGAGATTGATAATTTTTAGGTTTTGTTAAGAGGTGAGCAAAGTTGAGACATGAACATCCACAATGGGAGCCAAAAAGTGAGATAAAATTTGTAGAGAGTTCATTTGGGAATGGAAACCATATGAGGGTTGATTCCCCCCCCCCATAGATATAGATAGTATTTTATTTTTTCCAATTACATGTAAAGACAATTTTAATATTAATTTTTATATAAAATTTTGAGTTCCAAATTTTCTTCCTCCCTTCCCTCCCTCTTTCCTTCCCCCCTTCCTAAAATGGCAAGTAGTTTGATATAGGTTATACATGTGCAGTCTTGTAAAACATTTCCATCTTAGTCATGTTGTGAAAGAAGAAACAGAACAAAAAGAAAACACCACGAAGAAAAATAAATTGAAAATAGTATGCTTTAATTGGATTGATGTTGTTAATGCAGCACCTTATTTAACATAGAAAAAATTCAGAGGTCACTTACTGATTGTCAAGTATCTCATCTCCTAGGTATGACTGTTTCTTTTAAAAAATTTTTTTTAACATTTTTATTTCGAGTTCCAAATTTATTTTATTTTGAATTCCAAATTCTCTCCCTCCCCTCCTCCCTCCCTGTGATTGTAAGTAATCAGATATAGGTTATACATGTGTAATTATGTAACACATTTCCATATTAGTCATTTTGTACAAGAAGACTTAAATACAAGAAGAAGATGAAAGAAAGTGAAAAATAGCATGTTTCAGTCTGTATTCAATCAATATTAAGCTGTTTCTCTGGAGGCAGATAGCATATTTCATCATTAGACTTTCGGGATTGTCTTGGATCATTGTATTTCTGGGAGTAGCTATGTCATTCACAGTTCTTCATCAAACAGTATTGCTGTTACTGTGTACAAAGTTCTCCTGGTTCTGTTCACTTCACTATGCATCAATTCATGTAAGTCCAGGTTTTTCTGAAATCATCCTACTTGTCATTTCTTATAGCATAATAATATTCCATCACAGTCACATACCACAGCTTGTTTAGCCATTCCCCAAATAATGGGCAGCCCTTTGACTTCCAATTCTCAGTCACCATAAAAAAAAACCTGCTATAAAAATTTTTGTACAAATAAGTCTTTCCCCCTTTTTTTGGCTCTTATTGGGATATAGATCGTGCTATGGTATTGCTGGATCAAAGGGGATGGCACAGTTTTATAGCCTTTTGGGCATAATGACTGGTTCTTTAAAACTGTGCATGGTATTGGTTTTAAAATATTCTTAATTCTTAGTAGGGAAATAATGAGGAGAACTTTTATGGGGAGAATTGTACAGGCCAGACAGTCCCTCACAGAGAATGGTTAAATAAATTTATCTAACACTTGGTTTTAGATGATATCTGGTAAATTTTATTAGATTAAGTAAATACGGATCAAGTGATTTCTATGTTCAAAGCAATTTTATTCCTCTTACCAGCTTAGATTGGAGCTGCACTGGGAAAGAAAATCACTTCTGTGTTCTTGAAGTCATTTGGGATAGAAGGC